TTAAAATACAAAAAAAAAAAAACCTTCTCAAATGACAAATTAAAGGGAGAAGTTGAGTTTGTGTAGTCTTCTTCTCCTTCTCGCAAGGGAACCAGCTCGCCATGACACTAGAACTACAACAGCACAGTTGCTCGGGATCAGATGGACGCCTGGATGGAGCTTCGTCTTCAATTGCACGCTTCACGGAAAGGAAAGAAAACTGGTGGGTGATTACCGATTGGCTATTGGCGATTGGGTGCAAGTTGGCTGCCAACATCCTCATTTTGATGCAGGGGGATAGGAAATTGATTTATGCCCGGCGGCGAGAGTTTTTATCTTTTGCCTTTCGTTCCTTTGGATTGACGACCGGAGGCGAGGGTTTTCATTTGTGTCTTTGGATTGACGACTGGGGGCTATTGGACTAACTACTAGCAACCTCTGCAAAGGAATGGTGGTGGCGAGCTTCCACACCAGCGACGAAGCTGGTTATGGGAATTGTCCGACGATGAAGAGTAGAGGTTTCCAGGTAGCAACGAAGTAGGAGCTGCGATTCAGGGAGACAGATTGACGAAGGAGGTAGGGTATTTTGGGTTTTGGTTGAACAAGCTTGTCGTTATAATTACCCTTAGGATTTCGAGTTAATTACAAAATAACCAAGAAGCACTAAAAAGCACCTCTTGGGCTGCTTTTAGATTTTGGCTTAAAAGCACTTTAAAAAAGTAGAATCTCGGGTTAACAAACACTTCTTTTAGCTTTTCCAAAGCTAAAAGCTCCAAAGTGCTTAAAAAAAGGAAATGCAAACACCGCTTTAAAAGGCACAACACATTCAGGCTTAGGCGTGGGCCGGCCCAAAATCGTTTATACACTTTCACTCAAACACTAACTTCTGCTTCTGCTCCCTGAAGGAGGAGAAACACTTTTAAGAATCAGATTCAAACACCGTGTATATACTCCGTAGAGAAGTAGTCCTTAGTTACTTCCGGTGTGGGAAATAACGCGAGGAGTTTGAGAAGAGTAAGCTTGAATTCAAAGGAATAAAACTGATACTGCCAATACTCATTACCCAATTATCTACATCTCCACAGATAGCTCAATAGTTATGTTAAATATTGAAAAATAAATATCATTATTAAGTTGACTTTTTTGAATCAAACAGATTCCTTTTATTCATTTAATTACGATATACGAATCCTCATTAGATTTTAATTTAGGTTTTGCAACTTTATAGAGCTTTAATATAGTTCTGAGTTGTAAATTTTAATTTTTAAACCGAATTAGTTATCAATTGGGAGGACTCACATTTAACATAGATTGATAAAAAAATGTTGACTTTGCAAAACAATTTGGAATGGAGATAACATTATATATATTATTGTTTATCGAGATCATTGTTTCATCATTGATCGATCGTATACTTTTCCTTTTGTATAATATAGGTGCATATATAATACTCTGCATTTTATGGATTTTATGGTTTCTAAAACTCTGGAAGCTTGTTTTTGTTCATATGTAAAAGTATGATGCTTTTGTACAAAATCAAAATGCCTTTTCCCGCTTTCCCGTCTAAGCCTACCTAGGACTTGCAACGCCTTGCACTTTTTGGAAGATAGAGTATGTGTATAGCATTTTGTAGGCTACAAGTAGAAGTACCCTTTTGTGAAATTGACTTATGTGCATCAGTTATTTTTTTTAACCCAGAGGGGTCGGGGGAGAGGGGTTTGGGGGCATGGGTACACTGGGATTAGTCTTACTCAATTGAGAATTGAACCCGAAACCTCACATAAAGGAGAGTGAGTCGGCAACCAGTTGGCTATACCGCTTCCTCGACTCATATGCATAATTAATGATGTCAGAAAAAGTCTAGCCTAATAAACTATAATCCTTCACTGGTATAATTCCAAAAACAGTTGGCAGATGTAACTTGTAAGCATTTTCACACAATTATTGGTGATTTTAAAAATACATTATGCTTATTAAGGCTTTGTTTGCAATCACTTGTGCTTAAATAAAAGCACTTTTTGGGAAAAAGTGATTAGTACTAAAAGTTGGTAGTATTGGTAAAATAAGTTCTTTTTGTGTAATAGAAAAAGTAAAAAGTAGATTCTACACGAAAATCGAGATAGTAAAAATTGGTAGTGTTTGGTAAAAATAAATGTTTTTTTCTTAAAAAAAACCAAAAACACTTATAAATAGAGTTTGCAAATCTAAATAGTTCATTTCAAATGTAACCCGATATGGCAGGCAAAAAAACTCTTCAATTGGTATTGTTCATTACTTTTTTTCGAAAGTAAAGTTTCATAATTCTCTCTCTAATACCAGTCATTATTATTCTCGTCAATTCTATGGGCACTTTATGTACGTTGAGTCTCACTTTGCGTACGTATTGGAGATTAATAAGCATGTTAGAGGTCTTCTAAGATAACACTCCGTAACATAGTTAAGCATGTTAGCTAATTAAGCATCTTTACTGAATGTACATCGAGTGCAATGTTTCGGTCCGGCCCGGTTCTGATCCTGGGTCGGTCGGTCCCATGGATTTTTTTATAGAAGCCCAGCCCCAATTCGAGAATAATGGGTCCTGTTCTGGTTCCGGGTACCCGGCCGGTACCAGTCTCCTGGGTCCGTTCCCGAGCGGGTTCCAGTATTTTTTTTAAATTACTCCGTATTTAATAATATAATACGGAGTATTAACACAAAGAAAAAACTATACACATTCAGTGCACTAATCGGCTATTGCAGGCAGAATTAGAAAAATATGCACCGGAAAATTATTCGGAGTATTACGTATTAATATAATATTACAATAATAAAAGTTTTAGCAAAATGCACCACATTATTCGCGTGAAGTTTTCATTTTTTTTAAAGAGAGATTCATTATAATTTCATTTGTAACAATTTCAAACTAGACCTGCACAAAACCGGCCCGGCCCGCCCACACAAATAGGCGGGCTTGGGCATATATTTGCCCGCCGCAATAACATATGGGCGGGCTTGGGTTAGGGAGAAGGCTTGTTCGGGCCGATAACCCCGGCCCGCTACATTTTTTCTTCTTCATCAAAACAGAAATATATTAATTCAATAAATCATTCGCCAGGTGGCTAGAAATACAACCCGGGATAACATCATAATCAACAATATGATCTGAGATGGTAGCATGTGATCGTGCAATAGCATGAGCCACATGATTCGCAGACCCTCTACAAAAAGAGATATCAAAATTACTCTTTGTTTCCAGCATCCTCCTAATATCATCAATTATCAAATGAATATAAGCCGCTCCTTCCTTCCTCGTCTTCACGCTCTGAACCACACTGAGTGAATTTGTCTCAACTTCCACCTTCTGTCATCCTGCCGCAATAGCTCCTACAAGTGCATCTCTCACCCCCATAGCTTCTGTTTCTTCTGCTGACCAATCTGCTTTCGTAGAGAAGCCCCGAGCCTGAACAAAACTTCCTTCCTCATCTCTTGTCACCCATCCCCAAGCCCGAACTCCCCCACCTTGGTTAACCGCTACATTTATATATACTAATTTATTTATTTATATATTTACATGTACACATGTATATTAATATTTACTAATTTATCTGTATACATATTTATAGTTAATTATATTTAAATTTAAATTTTTAGTTCTTAACAACTAATCCAACCAAGATAATATTGGTTTGATATAATTTTTAATTTGTGAATTCAAACTAACCCGGTTTAATACTCTCATATCGTACTCTTACTTTCTCAGTCCATGCTCTTCTTCTCAATATGAACTTAAACTAATGCCTATTTAAACTCAATCTGATTTTCACAATATGTGATTCTCTCTAGGTTGAATGATAGAAATATTATTTGAAATGAAGAGTGAAAAAATGAAATTGGGAGAAGAGGTCATAAAATTAAATGAGTATTAATTTGAATTCACCCTAATTGTTCTTGTAGACATCATTTATAGTTTGAATTATTTTTTGAACACTATTAATATAGATTATGATTATAAAATAATAATAATAATAATAATAATAATATTAAAAATAATAATAATAATAATAGTAATAACAACAACAACAAACTAGTAACTAAACTAAGAGCTCGTTTGGTAATACTCGAATCTGCTGTATTGGTTGATTCTGCTGAAATGTATGAAGTTCTGATTGAAGTGGTCACACTGCTGATTTTGCTGAAATTTATGAAGTTCTGGCTGAAGTGGTTGCATTGACTGATTGTGTTGCTTTATGGAAAAGATAAAAATATATTTTATTAATAACATAAAGAAAAAATTATATGAAAACAGCTAAAATGGTCATCTACAGAAATTTCATTCATTACGGTCAGAAACGTAATTTATTGCTTACTTTTTCTTCTTATTATTGTACATTTCAACGCGCGAAATCAAATGTTATGTATTAAGTGAAAAAGTTGGCCGATAAACTTAATAAACCTAAAATGAGGGTCAACGATCCCTAAAAGTAACAAAAGGAATTAGACAATGTAATGGAAATAGGCAAAATGAAGTAACATAAATATATTCATTCAAGTATTTGAATCGATCTTTTTTCTCGAAAGATTAACAGATTAATTTATTCATTTACAAACTCAAAATATTATTGATAGTACTCCTCCCTATGCCTTTTTATTAACATAAAAGCAAAAGATTATTTGGAACATACACATCAAACTGAATAATAACTGATGGAGTCCTTTTTCCCGTAGGAACACAAACACTGCTAATTTAAGTCATACCAGCCGAACTTGGAATAACTTTTCCGGTTTAGAGCCGAGATTTTTTCAAAAATTCGGCCGAGTTTCCACCGTTAAAAATAAACAAATAATAACGAAAAAACAGATATTGATTTTACGGTCTACTAACTTTTGTCCTGACATCGGGCCCACAACAACCCTAAAAATGCGGTGGTTATTAACCCCGCAGTATAGTGATGATAAAATAACTGTTTTAAGCCGGCCCAAAGTTAGGCCCAGCCCGCTCCCCATTTCCCGTGTATTTATATCCTTCATTCCGTCCCCATTCTCTCCACCAAACTCCAAAGCTACCAAGATTATCATTTTCTCCCTATGGCTTTCTTCGTGTTTTTCTTGGCTGGCCTTCTCACAATGTCTTCAACTGTCATTGCCAACCCCATCGGAGGGTGGACCGACGCCCATGCAACCTTCTACGGCGGCGGAGATGCCTCTGGAACTATGGGTATGTGTCATTTTTTGAAAAAATCAAAATACCTGTTTTGCCCCTACCCTTCTTGGTTTTGAAATGACTCAAAATTTGATCTTTTTTTTTGCAGGAGGGGCCTGTGGTTATGGGAATCTGTACAGCCAAGGGTATGGTACAAAAACTGCAGCGCTGAGTACATCTCTGTTCAACAATGGCCTTGCATGTGGATCTTGCTATGCCATTAGGTGTGTGGGTGACAAATCTTGCCTGAAAGGCACTATAGTCGTCACCGCCACCAACTTTTGCCCTCCAAACAACGGCCTTCCGAGCAATGCCGGCGGGTGGTGCAACCCTCCCCGCCACCACTTTGACCTCGCCCAGCCGGTCTTCCAAAGCATCGCCCAATACAGAGCCGGAATCGTCCCTGTCTCTTACAAAAGGCATGATCTTTAACTTATTTGACTGATTTAGGCTCAAGAAATCGAAGGGTATTCTTGGCATACCAGTTTTTAACCAAAAAATTGCATCTTTTTCAGGGTGCCGTGTAGGAGAAGCGGAGGAATACGGTTCACAATCAACGGACATGCCTTCTTCAACTTGGTGCTGGTGACTAACGTCGGCGGCGCCGGAGATGTCCACGCGGTGGAGGTTAAGGGCTCAAGAACAGGATGGCAGCCACTGTCAAGAAACTGGGGGCAAAACTGGCAAAGCAACTCTAACCTTAATGGACAAGCTTTATCGTTCAGGGTCACCACCAGCGACGGCCGGAGTGTGGTGTCTAACAACGTTGCCCCTGCCGGATGGTCTTTTGGTCAAACCTATTCCGGCAGCCAGTTCTAGCTTTACTAATTAAACACAAATATGCAATTAGTTACCTAAAATTACTATTCTGGTCAGTAATATTAGTAACATGACCGATATAGTATGTAACGTGTGGTCTAGGGTCAGAATGGGAAGGCTAAATTTAACACAGCCTTCACCATTAAGGCTTGTTTGGCTGCCCTGGTTTAAAAAGGGTACCAAATTTGTTAGGCCAAGTGGTTTTTGGCCAACTACTTTAGTTTATCTTTTTTGGTGGTTTTGTAGAGCAGTGGTGGAATTTTGACCACCCGCTAAAAGTAGTAGTGAGAGTGTGACTAAGATAGATGTCCGATGGTTGCTTTCTTCACCAAGTGCTGGCTAAAAAAGGTTGACTTGGTGGGGGTAAAAGTGTAAAACTTCAAACTTGTAGTAGTGATGTGAAACTGGTTCATTTAACTTTTTATTACTGCTATAAATTTTGTGTTCAGTAAAACGGAAAAACGGAGTATTCATTGACTTCATTCTCTGTTGTTGGTTGTTATGACAGGGTGCTTAGACCATTTGTAGTGATCAAAAGTCTAAAATGTTAAATATGGACTCCGTCCATATGAAAACAGTGTTTAGACTCTTATTTTTCTGCATCCCATCACCATAAATAAAGTACACTTAACATATTTTTTTACATATTGATTTACTAAAACATCAATTAAATTATTATACGTAATTTTGTTTGTTTAATGTTTTCCCCTAAATGATTATGAAATAAAAAATACACATTTTGAGGTAAGAAAAAATAAATTTCATTAAGAAAATTGTTAATATTATTTTTTAATTTTTTAGTTTTAATAAAGAATAAAATGATTTCATGTAATACTTAGTTATTTATTGAGACTCCATGGATTAAAAATTTGTGTTTCGTATTTTCTTGGGATCAAGAAAATTCCAAAAGTTAAAATTTGAAAACTGTTTTATACTTTATACATGTAATATTGGTGTCATTTGAAAGGTTATAAAAAATTAGAGATTTTGATATATTGTTTGAAAATTTTGGAATAAAAATAAAAAAGTTATATCAATTTTAAAAAAATTGGGGTGTTATGACAAAAGAATGACATCATCTGTACCAAGAGCAAACCCACGGCTAGTCCTTTCTTTCCCTTTTTCTTTGCTTCTTTCTTTTACGGGAAAAGTGTCAAATAAGTCCTCCTACTACTCTGAAAATGTCAATTAAGCCTACCAACTCAAATATCACCCAATTAAACCCACCAACTTATAAAAACCGTTCAAATCTGGTTTTTACTAGGTAACAACCGGTCATCAACTAAATGGAGCCACGTGGTGACACGTGTCACTTTTTTTCCTCTCTCTTTCCTTCTTCTTCCTCTCTTTTCCCGGTGACTCTTTCTTGGGCCCTGTTGCTCCCCGCTTCCTATTTTCTTTTACATTCATTCTTAGTCTCCACTTTGGCTTAATGACAAGTTCACAAATCACAACCCAAAGCTACCTCTGTTTCTCACTTTTTCTTATTTTTGGGTTTTCACGTACCCATTCAATCCATTAATACACAAGAAAATAAATGAATCAACAAATTGATGGAGACGATTGGTACTTAATGAGACGGAACATTGGTAAGAGAGGAGGAAAACGCTCGGTAAAGACAATCGGTGCTCTCCTTGCCGGAAATTGGCCGGAGAAGATGACCGGCGCTCGAACAACCTTCTTGGCTTTCCCGAAGGTTGGCCAGGGAAGAAGACCGGCGTTTGGATCTATTGGGCGGCCAGGTGATTGTAAAATAAAGAATGAAAGAAAGAAAGGGACAGAAGAGAAGAATGGAAAAAAGAGAAAAAAGAGAATGGGGGAGTCCGCTGGAGAAGAAAAAGGAATGGGGAAGATAGAAAGAAATAAAGAAAGAGAATAAAGAAACGAAAAACAAAAAAAAAATACAAAAATTGAATGACACATCATATTTCTTTACCGGGAACCGGAACATTACTTGCTGAAAACTCAATTTGATTTTATTTTATGTGTTTGTGGGTCTAATTGGATGATATTTGAGTTGGTGGACTTAATTGACATTTTGGTGTTAGTAGGGGGGCTTATTTGACACTTTTCCCTTCTTTTACCCACTGTCAACCCACCCCTCTAAAAATACACTCCTTCATCCCTTTTCCCACTTTTAACCCCTCCTTTAACACACCACTACACTAAATTAGGAGTCTAAAATTTCTAACTATAACATTTTGGACTCCTAATCCTACACCACTACAAATGGTCTTAGTGCTTACAGTTGAAGCCTTCTAGGCTTCTACTTCTACTGGTAATAGACCCTACAACTTTATGGCTTTGTAACAGAAATGAGAAGGAAAGTTATAAAAGCATTGAATGACTTATACCCTCCAAGCCTAACGAATAACAAACAGCTAAAGTAATAAGATTAGATCCTTTAAAAAAAAGTAATAAGATTAGACTCCAAGCATTGAATGACTTATACCCTCCATTAGATTAGACTTAAAAAATACACAAATAAAACCATATCAGAACGGTCCAACAAATTTCAATCTAATTAAAAACATTCTAAGATAGAAAAGATAATATTCTAAACTTGGGAAAGTGATTGTAATTTGTTTCTTCAAATAATGAAAATTGTATCCTACAAAACAGTAAAAAGAATAAATAATCTATACCAATATTAACTTTTGGTTAAATTTGATACACAGATTAAGAAAGTGGGAAATGTGTAATCTGAAGTTGAACAAAACCAATAAGAAATTGATTTTGGGGAGAGTAACTTGTGCGTACAATATAACAAAATTATGAGTAAAGATGACATGAATATTGTACGTGAGTAGATTGGATAGAGATCTCTACTTGACTAGGAGAGTGCCTTACGCAACTGATGGTCGGATGGGAAGAAGAGCGTTTCGAGATACGCGAAAAAGTGGACCCCAATAATCCCATACTACCTTCGTAACTTAAAAATCTTCTCATTTCAAAAGTAGGTAGATTAAGAATAGTGAAAGAGAATTTGAATTATTGAGGGTATGATGGAAAAATAGTGGAATAATATGATGGAATGTAGGATAAGTCCTAAAAAGTAATTGTAATAGTGTACTATTTTTAGAATTATTGAGAGTGTGATGGGAAGATTTAGACGTGAGAAGATTTGTTTGTTACAGACAAAAATGGAAAGTGAGAAGATTTTTTTTTTGTTACAGAGGGAGTATTGTTGAACTCTCAATCGGATGGTCTACCTAGATCATACACCCTACCTTGCTGCGGGAGCAAGGTAGAGACCCCCCGAAGGCCCGAATCCGAGTAGATCAAGATGTGAATGACCCAAATTAGTTGAAGATGAAGAAGGCCACAGAAAGGAAGTAAAATACCGAGTTTTCAAAAAATGGATTAAATTAACACCTTAACATATCCTTTAAGATTTCATTGTAGGACTTTCGATATCAAAATTTGAAAATAATTTTAAACTATGCAACTATCACCCACAGGCCAGTCCCACATTAATTTGTAATGCGCAGTCAGGGGCGGAGCTACTAGGGGGTCAGGGTGGTCAGCCGACCCCGCTGAAAATTTAAGAGTGTATTATGGCTTTCGTATTGATATATTATGGCTTTCGTAACTCATTACGAGTAAAAAGTTATGACTACCGCAAAATCAGCACTATTTAATTTTGAAATTAGTAAAATTGTGATGTGTAATATTAATTATATTCACAAAATAGCGTGTAATTCACTCGTTACTTACATGACATGACTTAGGGACAGAGCAAAGACAACATATCTTACTACTACGAGTGCCTACTCAATAAATGATTCTTTTCTAGTAAGAAATCTTGATACTAAATCGAGTAAGATCAAAGAGAACCATAGAATACTAGGGTAAGACAATGGGTCTCATTTGAGGTACTCAACTCAATCCGTATAAAACAAGTTTATAATATATGTGACATATACGAAGTATGTTAACTACATATACTCTATTAGTTTCATTTAAACTATCATTTATCTTAGCTACATTCAATTTGGGTATTGTCTAAAAATAATCTACCGTTTTGATTCTGTAAATTTGATTTCGACCCCGCTGAGTCATTTTTCTGACTCCGCCCCTGTACGCAGTAACTTAATGTATAATATAGTGACAATGATACTTTATAATTGCAAACCATATAACTTAACCTGCTAAAATTCAAATAGAGATCTTTGCCATATGGCCGACTGGCCGAGGTGCTCGGCAGTCGCATACGATGACACGAGGATAGGGCTGCACATAGGGCGGGTTGAGTCGGGTTTGCTATATTTTTTGGGCCTACCCGATTTGTTCGGGTTAGCTATTAACCAACCCGCGGCACGTAAAATAAGTTGGTAAAGCATGCATGAACGGGTCGGGTAGGGTCAGGTATTGGGGAAAAAAATCACTTCGGGTTGCATCTTTCATGTGAGAAATTAATGTAACTAATTTAAAACTTGATTAACTTGTTTCCAAATCACACAAACAAATACAAGTACTCATATCTTTTATAAGCAAAAATATTAAGTAATAGTATTAGAACATCCTTCTGCAAAGGAAGTTCATTTAGAAGGAAACGTAAATATATAATAATCACCTAGTCAAAATGATAAATGTTTAATTATAATTCTAATATCATAGTCCTAGCACAGAGCACATTGGTCATAAATTGAAGTTATCCAAGAAAACGTTGTAACATAATAATAGTAAAATGAACTTCGGCCGAGTCGGGCACTATCGGGTTTGAGATTTTTTTTCCGCAACCCTACTCATTAGGTGTGGGTTCAAACATATTTAACCCATGAATATTTTTAAAAATATAATACCCGATTAAATAGGGTCGGGTAGGGTTGGGTCGGGCAGGTTATGTGGGTTCAGGTTATTCTTGTGCAGCCCTACACGAGGATGATAGGTGGAGCTGATAAGAGCCCTTGAGGTATATGTTTTGTTACAATGATCGTTGCGCATTGATTAAGAATTAAGATGTCGTCCGAGCAGAGACTCGAATTCCAAAAGATGATAGTAGCTCGGTCCTCCTAAAATTAAAACAAAGAAGAATGTTGCGGTATTTAATAAAAATTGTGAATGAAGTAAAAATTATAATTAGAATAAGAAATAATTACATAAATATGACCAAAATAAATATGATTTACATTAATATGATTCATTACTAGAGTAGTAATGAAACTATAGTAATTCATGTTCAAGTTTTAAACTTAAGTTACCATAGCATTAAGTTTTAGTAATGAATAGTCATATTTATGTAAATAAATTTTATTTTAGTATTATTCTTATAAAAAACTCTTAGAATAATCACACAAATATTATTAGATATGGTACTGGTCTGAGACAAATTTAGTGGAGCAGACGGGGAAAGAAAAATTAGACAATTATAATGGAACACGGGAAGTTCAAAATAAAGAATTGATTGATAACTAGTTATTTTGGCTCTACTTTCGCACATACGAAGTATATAATACTCCCTCCGGTTCACATTAATCTTTACAC